TCTCCAGAATACATATACCTTCTACCCTATCCCTACGACCCACGGCCCACTCACTTACCTCAGTTGCAGAAATCACAAATCTCTTTCTACCAAATAAATTTTCTCTCTCTAATACAACTTTCTCTCTCTACTATAGATGCACTCTTCGCCTTCCCAATGTCCTTGTTGACACGACCATCTCTGACTCTTTCCTCATTAAGAGATTCACACTGCAGCCGCCTCGACCAGATGCTTTTTTGTCGACGTTCCTATCTTCGTTGGAAATTGAGGCTACCGCTCCGCCTCCCTTTCCATATTCGCTGGTTGCTATTTTGGGCACCGCTTAATTGGATTGCTATTTTAGGTTGTGTGGTGGTGGGTTGGATGACCACCTGCTTGTGTTGCTGTTTTGGGTTGTGGTGGTGGTGGTGTGGTGATGGTATTGGTAAAAGTGGTGTTGGGACAAAATGGGTCAGATAAAATGAGGTTTGGAAGTGGCGGCGGTGGTGGTGGTAGTGTGGTTATGGTATTGGTAAAAGTGGTGTTGGGACAGAATGGGTAAGATGAAATGAGGTTTGGAAGTAGTGGTGGTCGGACGAAATGGATCGGATGAACTGCTGTGTAGCAGTTTCTCCATCTTCCTCTATTTTCATCGTTGTTCAGCCTTCTCCAGTAGCGGTGCTCCAGCAGTCTTCACTACTATGTAGAGGTGTTTGTGCGATGGTGTGTAGATCTGTGTTGGTGTATAGAGCGTTTATGCGATGGTGTCTTTGTTGACCGTATATGATTTTCAGCGTAGATTGTTATTGTGGATTTAGGGTGAATTTAGTATTTATGGTCGTCAATTTAAGTGAAAGGTATAAGTGGTGGTACTTAGGAGGTGATAGTGGTGGATTGTAATATTGGTCTGAGGTGTTTACAGATTTGTTTGTGGTGACTCCATGTGACCAAATATATGTTTGTTGTGACTATTTGTGATCGATTGTTTTAGATTGTGACCGGCTGTGACTTAATCACAATCAAGATTGATCTGATCATATATAGTCACATTGAATACAAATTTGATTACAGCTACTCACATCAAAGACAATTTGGTCACAGTTAATCATAGATAATATAAGTCGGTGAATTGGCCACTACAGTTACAAATTAGACGGCCACATACAGTTAGAGTGAAAACAAATTTGATCACAAATAGTCACATAAAATATAGGAATAGTCACAAACAATAAATCTGATCACAGATAAATTTTTGGAAATTTTTCTACAGTGGAGTTTAGAGAGAAAATATTTTCAAGTTTTGGAGATTTTTCAATTGCCGGAGCCAAAATGGTCGTCGGAGCAGCTCTTGGAGCGATTACCGAAAAGGTTGCTGGAGTAATCGCGGGAGCCGATGGCCGCCTCCGATGGAGAGAATGGATAGTCGAGTAAGGAGAGGATAGAGAATAGAGAGAGAAAGAGAATGACTTGAATTTGAAATTTGGTGTGATTAATTATATTATATTATAATTAAAAATTTAATAAATTGATTTATACCTAATTTTTGAAAAGTTTTATGTAGTTTGTTAGTTTTGAAATGTATTTCTTATATGTAGGATTTATGTATTATTCCCTACTATTTTGAGAGAAAATTATCTCAAACTTTACTTTTCAAGTTTAAATTTCATAGATCAGGCATTTTTTGTTTTAAAATTAGGTATACCCACGCAACTCTACCCCCCATCTCATACTCTATTTCTTCCACGAAGTCAGACCTCTATATATAACATTTTTTGTTTTAAAATTAGGTATACCCACGCAACTCTACCCCCCCATCTCATACTCTATTTCTTCCACGAAGTCAGACCTCTATATATATATAGAGAGAGAGAGAGAGAGAGAGACTTCGACGCATATCCCGTATGGCAGTGCAATTCCAGTTTCTCTACAATGTGATTGTAGTGGTCATAAATTTCAACAACCCAAAATGATAAAGTGGCCTTAGAAGAGGTAGGGTGTGGGAGTTGGAGGTGACATCATCATTGGGTGAGTCAAAGCTGGGCATCCAATTATTGGGAAAGAAAAGGTACTTTTTAGTAGGGAGGGAAGTGAAAGATTCCACCATCAAAGGAAGGTGTGAGCGGATGAGGTGGGGGGAAGAGCTAGAATAAAGGGAGGCAGAGACGTGGGAAGAGTGGAGAGTCAGTGTAAAATCGAAGAGAAATAATTGTAGGGAGGATGATAGAGGTGGTGGTGGAGGAAAAGGCAGAGGAGCGACCACATGTTAGGATAGAAGGAAAGATGACAAAGAAGGCAGTGAGGAAAGAGGATAGAAGGCATCTTCGATGGCGTCTAAGGTAAGGTTGGAATGGGTTGACAGAGTTGGTGGTAGCATTGTAGTGGCACAATAGGTTGCAGGAATTTAGGCCCATCCAATGGTTGTAGATCTAGAGGTACTGTGACAAAAGTTTGGTTTGGGTTAGTTGACTCGTTTTTTGTTCCTCATTTTTGGACTTATTTTATTAATTTCTTGAAAATATTCTCCTTTTAAGCTTATTTTGTTAATTTATTATAAAAATGAGCTGGCTAGTGGACGGTTCGACTCATGAGACCCACAAACCTAAGGGCCGAGCTAAACTCTATTTGGCACTGTTTCTCACCATAGTCGCTACCTTCCACGACTACCATCACCTTTCGCCCTGTGCCATTATCTAAACCTAGTATCAACATCAAAACCCACATTTGAAACCACTATCGAAATCACCACCATCATCTGAACATAATTATCTAAAAATCACGAGTATCATCAACATTAAAGAATTCCGACAATGCTCCTCAGCCTAAGAAATTTGAGCCTCAATCAAAGTCAATTTCACTACCACCATGGACCTACGTCATCCTACTTCCCAAAGACTAAGTCCTAGGTTATGCACAGGGATAGCTTGGATAGAGGGAAATGCTAGGATGTAGTCCAATGCTTCCCAGGCCCAGGTCCAGTAAAAGGTCGAAGAAAATGAATAAAATGTCTTAAATATAGTCCATGGCCCACTAACAATCAACTAGCACAACCCAATTTCAAGAATCAATATTTTATTTTAATCTTTTGACCCAATTATTTGTTTTAGCTTTAGCCTATTACTCATAACAAGTTAAGAAATATCTTCTTCCTTTTCTGTTGATTTGAAACAATTGAAAAAAAAAATTCTCAAATCTTTTTAAATGTTTAACACTAATTCTTTCGATTCTTTTGTTTAGCTACCTCCCCACCAGAGTCGTTGGCCGTCAACAACAAATAAATAAAACACTAAAGCATGAGCAAGACATCCAGCAATGTTTTGGGAAATTAATTTGAGCATTTTGAAAATCGAACATTCGGTCATTGGTTTGTAATTGTGGTCATTTTTTATACTTATATCAAAATACCTTTCTTGATTTTTTCATTCATTGTATTTCTTAAATTTTTAGAATCTCGTTGATCTCGATTTCTGTAGGGATGATGTGGTCAATAGATCCCATTTCAGAGCCATGCCGCATTGAATGTTGTGGTGTGCTGTATTGAGTACTGTGTTGGTATTGCGACTTATGTTTGACATGTAATACTAGACTTAAATATTTAATTTGAATGGAGCCACCTATTTAGTGAGTTGTTAAATTATCTACTTGCAACAAGATTATGTGAAGGTTCTTTATCAAGTTTGTTAATCGCTTTAGTGAAAGAGTTTCGGTCGCCTCATGGGTTTGAACATTTGATGGCTTGACACGCATGAATTTGGACAATTGTCTCGTCTTCCTCTAACGTCTTGCCACATGGTTCAATGAGGTTCTACGGTTTTGGGAAGAGCCTCGTTGTCGAGGCGTAATAGTAGTTCTCTAGGTCCATGTATGAATATTCGTATAATGCACTTTCAAGTGTCACGATACACATATGTTTTTCATTGTCAAAGGCTTTTCAGATGCTCTTTATGAAATATACGATTCCCCAAGTCCATGTATAAATATTCATATAATACATGGACTTTCAAATGTCGTTATAGCTAAAATATAACAAAAGAATTCAATACCAAGAATGAATGGTACGAGGCCCTATCATACAGGATGCAGTCAAAGCGTATCATAAGGTTGAAGCAAGCTTAAGCGAGGCCCTGTCACATATGGACAAGCCACTAGGAATTGTCGAAGCCGATCGTGAGGCTGAAATATGCTCAAGCAATGCCCTAAACGTATGGACGAGTCGCTAAGAGCTGTCAAAGCCTATTGTGGCCTTGTCGACGAGACATTAATGGGATGCATGCGCAATAATTGGAATAATCTCACCTTCCCAAGAAAAGATAGGTTGGCATTTGTGTTCATTTAAGACTATGCGTCTCGTGTATTAAATGCATAGTGATTATCCTTCACAGTAACCCTCCGAATTAACGTACCTATTGGGCGCATATGATACACGAGCAAATCTGGAACTTCAATTCAAATTTAGATATGGGCCTTTTGAGGTTCAATGGTTCAGATATATATATCTACACCCAGCCAACACAAATCTATAACAGGTTAATCAAACGATAGGGGGTCGATCCCATTCCCTATATAAGGACACTTTTTTCCATTTTACAAGGTTTTTACTCTGCAAAGTCGCGAAAACCCTTAGAGCAAATTCAGAAACTGTTTTGCAATCTCTGACGATTAAACATATTTTTTGATTACTTTTTCTTCTTTCGGCGTAAGCAGCCCTTTGTAAGTATGATTATAGATAAGTTGTACTTAGGAGATTTGTTTGTCGTCTTTTTTATTTAGACTTTTTACTAGCATTCATTGACACGACCCGTCCCGATCACCCTAATGGATCCGACACGTGTCGTGCGCCGATGGTAGATACCAGCTAAATGCCGGACCCACCACCAAGGCAAACTTGACATGCTTTGACTGTAATAATTTTATAAAAATTTCGGCAAAGTTTCCTCTGAAAAATGGACTAAAACCACCTGAGAATAAAACCAAAAATCCCAAACCTATACACATATTTTAAAATAGGGTACACTAGCCCATCAAAATACTAATTCTTCAAGGAGTTGTACTGAAAAAGAAATTTACCATTTCAAAACATACACAAAATATGCAATGGGTATGAGACTTAATACATTTTTGATACAAAATACATTAACCCCCAAAATATATGTTGTATGAATTAACAAAATGAGACATACAAACAAGGACACGATGAAGCTCAACTCGTCAAACGACAGGCTCTGATATGGCTCAACGCAGCTTCTATCTGATAAGAAATGAGGTGACAAAAATATGAGCTAGCGACTCAGTGAGTGGATATTTGTAAAGGTCATACTTTAACATTTATAACACCTTTCTAAATACAAGTATATAGTAAAAATTTCCTTTCACAATACGTTAAACTAAAATCTTCATTCTTTCAACTGAATCAACTAAATACTGAAAAATCTATTTCTAAAATCTGATAAGCTATGTAATACTGAAACATCACACCAAAAATGTACCCTGAATAACCATACTCGTGTATCGATTAATCTCGATATACATAGCAAGGTCATTAAATTCTGAAATTCTGTAATTCTGAAATTCTGAAATTCTGGTCATACGCGCGCAGAGCTATAAAATGGTCATACACTATGGAAACACATTCACAATAGTGCAGAGCGGGTAAAATCACTATAACTAGTCATACACTGTGGAAACACATTCACACCAGTGCAGACGAGGTAAAATCACATGGGTACTTTCTGGTGGTTTTTAAAAATAACTTGAAATATTCTGAAATACGTAATACCGATAAAACATGCTAATGAAATGATTTAACTGAACTATATCAAACTTTTAAAAAAACATCTTATTGTAAATCAAATTTATTCTGAAATCATTCTATCAAATCAACTGTATGAAATAATAGATTTTCTAATTTAATATAAATTGAATAAATACTTATTGCTGAAAAATTAATTTTCATCCACTCACTCAATACGAGCTACAGACTAGGTCGGTCGGTAAGCTTTGCCAATTTCTTCGTCACCACCTGTAATACGTAACAAAATGACTAATCAACCACTATTAAATTAAGAAACTTTAAGATCTACTTCTATAATACTTAACTAAAATTGGTCGATGTTCGAATGAATTTCCCAAATATTCTTTTGATCAATGGAGCTAATCCCACTTTCTAATTCCTTTTCTAATAACTAATTTATCAACAAAACCTTCTTCCCAAGTTAAAACTAATTTTTCTTTCCAATGTAATGAAACTAGTGACCATAATTTCCACCCATCTAATATACATTTGCTCCTTAAAATCAACTCCCAAATGAAATATTCCATTTATATAATCACTTCCACAATTAATTAATTAAAATCCCCAAAATCGGATTCTAGGGTTTCCAAAATTTTCATTGCCTAAACACCTTGTTAAAATTGAAACATAATTAATCCCTAAGCTTGAGCTCCAAATCGTACATATATCACATAAATTTAACATTTTATTATTACATGATAAAACCCTAAAAATTTTAATATAAACCATACTTAATCATCTAAGACAAATGGAAAAATTAAACCCAACTTGAAGATATCAACCTTACCTCCTTTCCTTTTCTTTTTCCCCTTCTTCTTCCTTTTTCTTTTCCTTTT